GTTCCCCAATTTAACATAGCTTTTCCTTCCGCCAGAAAGAACAACTGACCATCTTTGAGAAACAGGCTCCTTGTACTTGTAAGTGGGGCTGACACAGCCGTGGCTCTAAAGTTGAGCAAAACTTACTTAAACCCAGTAAGTGGATCGCTTTTACCTCTCTTCTTCCACTAACATTTAAAACAATGTTTCATTCTTTCTCAGTTTTTAGGACACCTATATTTGGCCATTACTATATAATCATAGATATGTATGCTTGGGTATAAAAACTAGAATGTTTAATCTATTCATATCTATGAGTCACAACAGACTAGAAAATGTGAATGCCACTCGGCTAAAATTATTCTAAACTTTAAAGGCCGGGCCTGGTGGCTCACTCCTGTAATCCCAGCACTTTGGGAGGCCAAGGCAGGCAGATCACGAGGTCAGGAGATAGAGACCATCCTGGCTAACACGGTGAAACCTGTCTCTACTAAAACTACAAAAAATTAGCCAGGCGTGGTGGCAGGCGCCTCTAGTCCCAGGTACTTGGGAGGCTCAGGCGGGAGAATCGCTTGAACCCAGGAGGGGGAGGTTTCAATGAGCCAAGATCGCGCCACTGCACTCCAGCCTGGGCGACAGAGGAGACTCTGTCTCAAAACAAACAAACAAACAAAAAGACTAAGAACCTTTTAAAGTTTTTGAGGGTGGAGATCATGTTTTGTGACCCATGTAGAGGCCTATAATTGTTAACAACCAACTACTACTCAGTCAAGTGTACAGAGGCGCTGACTACTGATACTGCTGCTGCTGCTGCTGCTGCTGCTGTGATGACACAGAATAGTCTGTTTAATAAAAGCACTTATCATATAGATGTATTTATTTGGGGGGGATTATGATTATTTGGGCTCAACTTGAGGGCTTAGGTACAAATAAGCACCATGCTTTGCTCCCTATTTATCTCAGGAAGTTGCCTTGAAATTCAACAGTTAAGACAAAATTGATCCAATAGTAGAAAATAAATAAAACTCGTGAATGAATGAACTTGCCTTCAAATATGAAGAGGACACCAGAAACTACCTCACAGGTCTGTATGACAACTAAATGCTTTCATAGGGTTAAAGTACTTAGAAAAGCACCTGGTTCAATGTAAGTATTAGCTGTTATTATTAGGATGATTAATTGAAACTTCTCCCACTCCCCCCACACCAATGTCTTACAAGATGGAGCAGTTATGAAATTTCTGGGCAGACTGATGTAAGCATTGAAACTGACAAACCAAAACAACAGGAACAGTCCATAGTATAAGGCAGGAAGTTGGATCAGAAGGGAACTGAGGAAAGCAACAAGGAGATGCCATGTGGGGATCACCATGGCCACAGCAGCTGTAGGGAGATATCCCTAGGAAACCAACATCCAATCAGGAGGTGACTTCCGAGAGCCTCAAAATGAAGACACTGTGGAACATCACACTTTTTTAAGAAGTGCATTCCCATCTGGCAAAATAGGAACACTTGAAACTCTTCATATCTGCGGACACTGATTAGTTTTATATTTTGATGGGTTCTAATTCTAATTTTTATTTCTGCAATGTTCAATATACAGATGAAATAGTATCATTTCATGTGATATCTGTAAGTTGGGAAACTAGCAGACAAAAAAACACTAGGAAGAAAATTAGATTAACTGAAATAATGTCACTCTGCTATAAAATCTACCATTAGTCATAAAATCCAAGCCTTTATAGTCTTACTTTATAAGTGTTTGACTCTTCATAAATATAACCTTATAAGCAGATAGCTTAATTTTATTTTACCTAACCTGATTTTTAAATTTGCTTGTCATCTCTCCTGTATACACAGAAGGGCCTGTACTCTTTAGGTAACAAGGAGAAGTTGACTTGAGAATTTTCTAAGAATAATCCAAAGTGACTAAGTAAAAGTTAACAACTGCTCTCGTGTTCTTTGTCATCAAAGAGGCATATTTGCGCATATAGTTTTGGCAAGGGTGGCTAAGTTTTGGCCCAACCAATGTATTTATGCTAAAATAATGAGATTATAACTTTGCCTGTTTGCTAGTCATTGTACATTTTTTAAAACTTCTTGAGGTCAATATCTATATGATACTTTGAAGCTAAAATGAGACTACAGCTTTGGCAAAGCTGAAGCATGCTAGAATGCAAAATATTAAGTTATTGTTGTATCTTCATTCATAGCAATAAATGGAAACTCAGTAAATATTAAGTTAATAAGTGCAATCGAAGTCTTTCATGCATATGTAAGAAGCTGAGAAAAAATACTTGTGACAAGTTTTCAATTCAGTAAATACCATTAGTATCTACCATGTGCCAGAAAAGATAGAGAAGAAGCTCAGGTCTGTCAGCAAATAAGGACTTGAAACTAAGACAATATGATTAATACTACACTTACTCTAAGATCAGAGCATTAAGCAAATGCACACCCAAGAAACATTTAGTGGGGGCAGGGAGAAGATGGGAAGGCCTCCAAAAGGTATGTTTCTTGAAGTCAGCCTTGAAAAATGATCAGAAGTTTTAAAAATAAAGAAGAATGCAATTAAAGAAACAGTTGGAGTGAAAAAGGGTGAAAGAGAATGGAACTTTCTGGTGGCTTGTGGTCTGGTGCACCAAAATGTGGGTTAGCAGTGGCGGGGGAGGGGATGGGGTAGTGGGAGGTTGAACAGAAGGAAGTGACAAGAAATAAGATTGGGGAAGTGGGTTGAGGCAAGTTTGTAAAGGCACACAATTCTTTAGTAAAATTATGCATTAATTTAAAAATAGTTCTTCATCCCATTATTATATAAAACCTGCAATGATATCTCTTATTTATAAAAATAAAAATGTTTGTAAATTTATTACAAAGTTTTTCTTCTCTCTCTCTTTTCTCTCTTTCTCTTGCTCTCTCTCTTTCATCCTCTCTCTCTTAAAACTGTGAGTGCCAAGATCTTGTTAGCCAGATTCAACAAGAAAAGTCTACAAACACTTAACTCTGAGAAAAATATGCTGGCCTGGAAGGGAGGATCTGTAACAGACACAGTCAGTAGGAGCCTGAAATCCTGACCGTCTACTGCCCCCCACCTTAACTGCCCAGTGACCTACGGCCAGTCCTTCAACCATCTAGCCCATTCCTTATCTCTAAAGGTAGTTGAGAGGATTAAACGAGGTGATGCATAAAGAATAGCTGCTTACACTACGTACTTATAATTATTGAGTGCTATTATTAATTTCCCATCCTCTCCAAGTTAAATGGTTACATTCAAATGAGACTACTTGTTGGTCTTTTCTTCCCCAAAGGGTTCAGAGATAGAATTATAAATGAAGTTAAAGCACCGAAATTGTTTGCCAAATTACCGATTGTTTCAAGGCATAATTTACAAAAGAGTCTAAAATTTAAATGCTACAAAGAAAAGCGTCTCTGGGATTGTTAAGGAAATGTCCTACTAGACACAGCTCCATCCCACCACAGCAGTGCTTGTTCAAAGGGCAAGACCTAGAAGATTTTTCTCCTCATGTTCCTGGGGGTGAGCTAGAATGAAGAGGAATATCTTCATAACGTATGGGATTGATGCCTTAGCAATGTAAACTTAATTTTAAACAGGAGACCTTTTTATTTTGAATTAACTTTCTTGTAGTACTTTTCATTCCTTCTTTTAAATATAAGAAAAATACTGACAGTCCTTCGCATTCTAATTTATTTTACTCTCACTAATAGTTTTACTTAAAATAAGACACAGCGTATTTTTAGTCTGTTCTTTTCTGGGGTTCAAGTCCCCCTTCTCTCAATTTCACATTTTTGCTTATTTGAAACTATTCTGGTGACATGTGCAACGTAACATTGGTGGTCACATTTTGCAGTTTCCAGAAATTCACATTTATAGGTAAATGATTAATTCCATTCAAATTTGTCTACACAGACATTCTTTAAACAATTATTCTTAATGGAAACCAAATAGAAACATATGACAAATGTATGTAAATTCAAAATCAAGATGTGTGTGAATAAGCCACCTTTATTTGTTTACTGATAGTCCTGACATAGTAATTTTAGAAAACAGGTTGCTATGTTAAAGAAAAGTTCGGTTTTGATAAATATCTTGATTAATGTTTCCATTTCCAGTCTGAATGGCTTTTATGGTTATCATTTGTCAACGGTTCTTAGTGTTATATGATAGCGGTAATTAAGTAAAAGCTTATACTACAAAATTCGAAGTGTCTATGTTTGGGCAAAGTTTCTGCAATAAATATCCCATATCAACTGTATAAAAATTTCTATTGCAGATAAAAAGCCTTTCTCCCAGAATTTGAGTGAATATTCATTGGTATGGTCATAAGCATAACAATTCAGATAATCCTACAGAAACACTACAATTAAGCATTACACAAATTGCTTTTATTTTTAGAGAACAAATGGAAAAGAGAAAACCTCTAATTCCATGTGGTTATACAGCACACCCATTAAAAACCCTAGGCGCCAAAAATCACTCAAATAGCCAGTATCACATTCAGTAACATATGACTCAAGATATTAATATATCCACTAAAGTACTGTAAAGAAGTTTTTAAGAAAAACAGAACTGCAGGAACTAAAATTAAACTACCCCCATTAGGCCAATAAGCAGTACAATCTAAATTATCAATGTATGCTTTTCCTGAAAACATTTTAAAGAAGATAAAATCACAGTAAATAGCCTTCCTGAAATAGAGCAATAGACATAAACCGGAACATGGTTTGGTTTTAAAAGGAAAAAGAAACCTTAATTTTGGGCAGGGGTGATAACTGCAGATAAGTTGAGAAGAACTCAGCCCGGAGAGCAGAGGTGCTCCATCTTGGATGGCCACACGAGGTGGCAGCAGATGTCCTGGCCAGTTAGAGGCAGGAATCACAGAGTTCTCAGGTGACATGTTCAGATGTCTAGTCCCCCGAAGGCAAAACCCACAATCCACAGGAACAGTGCCGAAGGACATCACAAGCACTTAAAACAAACAAAAACACATGAAGAAAATTTACCTTGTAGGAAAAAAGCTGTCCTTGGTAGTACTGGTGTATGACCAGGAACCCCTTCTTTCTGATCTGCAGAACAGCTTTGTCAAGGCCGGGTGTGTGGTCACAAGGCAGGAAGTGACTAGAATGACAAATCATCAGCCAGGAAAGAAAAAGATTTTGTCTTTATAAGGACATTTTAACTTTTTTTTTCATGTCCCGCCCCACCAAAAATCACCTGACAGAACAGGTCACACTGAAATTCAGACACCTCCTACCACTTCCTCTTTTTTTTTTTTTTTTCAGACAAGGTCCCGCTCTTTTACCCACCTCTTTATAAGCATTTTTCTTTCTCCCTTTCTCCTCCAGCTGTCTTTAAGTAGTCCCTGAGCTACTTAAACCTTTCTGATTCTAGATAGTAAGGCAAGGTCAGACTGATAACTTGACTTCTTTGACTCCAGTTGCAAAAGCAAAGCCCAGGTGCCTACCTACTTACAGCAAAGATCAACAAATTATTCATTTTTAGTGAAAGAGCCAGAGAAAAAGGTGGCAAAACACCTGAAACAAATGAAAAGGGATTTCCTTGGGAAAGCCCCACCCCACCTGCAATCAAACCTTTCTGGAGTCCTCTAGCAGTGATCTCATTGGTGCAAACAAAACAGAATGATCGCTTTAAGTGAAGGACATGAAAAGGAAGGTTACTAGATTATTTACTCGTTCTTTTATTTATAGAACATCTATGTGCTCGGGATCTCTTTAACCCAATTAAGTATCTCAATTATTTAAGCATTTCCTATAAAGAGCAGCAGTAGATTGCACAGGCAGCTGTTATATTTAAATGGGTGGCTTAATTCCTTCTTACAGGCAGGATTTTTTTTGAATGTACATTTTATAAAATTAGCAGGTGGTGGCGGGGGAAGCGCTATTCTGTACCCAAACCCCAGATGCTTGAGGGCAAATTCCTATCTTCAAACGGAGCATCCTCAAGCGCTCACGACGGTTGTGAAGACTGTGGCACCCTGGGTTATGTTGACTAAATATTAGACATGTCTCCACATTGCCTGGAGACTGTGTGCGGTTCCAGTAGTCAATCTGCTGTTTAGGAATGAGGGTGTGTGGCTGTGCTCCCAGGTCAGATGCTGCGCTGAAGATACCTGCTCCGGAGTCGACATGCGTCTGTGTTTGCTGGGCCCCGGGCCTCTCAGGTGGTCACGGTGTTCTGACTGGTTGGAGGGCTGTCCTTATACTTCTTTTGCTTTTTTGATTTCTCCTCTAGAAAGTTCCTGTTTCTGACCTTAAATGTTAAACCAAACTGTTCTGGTTTATCTACTTCATTAGCCAGTGGTGTGGTGACCTCATCAGAAGCCCACAGGGGCTATCTTGAGGAACCGGGTGGGTGGAAGAACAGGACGAGACGGTGGGGATTCTAGAAACGGTTCACCTCACCGAGAGCTATCAGCCCTCTTGTGATTTCCCAGGGAAGAGTCGGGGGCTGAGGGACTCTTTTTTCTCCATTGCATAATCACTCCCAATTAATAAGTTGCAGAGAGCTTTCAAGAAGCACCTAAGTTCTTTCAGGACACCAGAGGAACATCCATGCGTTGCTGTTACACCATTGCTCACACTACAAAGCAGCAAAATGCTGTCCTCATTCGGGGCCCTGCAGCAGGACTCTGTAGATAATGTCCTGATCATCTTACAGATACAAGGGGTTGTAACTGTGGACCTCCCTGATCTGGTTCCACATCCTGGTGGTTTCAGGATGGCATAAGGGCCCAAGGGTGACACTTCATGAAGGGGGACATATATTTATTCCTTTACCTTGGAGAAGGAAAGTGCAGTATGCTGTATCTAGTGGTGCCTGGTCATCTGAGGCCAGAGGAATCTACAAAGAAGAGCAAAATATATTTGTGCATTGGTTCAACAAGTGTTTGCATGCCTGTCTGAATTGGCGATTCAGAAATAAACAAGACACAATTGCTGTTCTCAAGGAGTATAGTCTAGTGGGGAAAAAACATGTAAGTAAATAAATGTCATCTATAATAGAGGGGTGAAAAAGGCAGTGTGATATCAAAGCAGTTGCAGCTTTGAGCAGAGGTGACGTTTGTTAAGTGAAGAAAAGGATTTAGGATTCCAGGCAATGTCTAGGTTGTAGAAGATGAAAGGCACTGACTTGGGTGCTGCTTACAGACACCCAGTTAATACAGTCGTCTTCTACCCTAGCATCCATGGCAGGCACCCACACCCCCTCAGCCACATCCTGGTCGGCACCATTGCAAGCCCTGCCCTACTCCCTCAATCTTAATCTCTTTATCTGCCTCTCAGTGGTGTAAGTGTACTCAGTTTCAGGCAATTGTTTAGGTCCTAGACCAAGACTTTTTCAGAGAATAGTATTTTACTGCTGTTGGTGTTTTAAATTGCTTGTACAGCATAATAGTAAACAGAAGACTGACTTTTGGTTTTCTTACGTTTTTATGTTCTCTACAGACAGTGCGCCCCCTTATGGCCTGCAGCTGGAGTGGACCTCTCTCACTCCACCCTCTATGAGCCTCCACTGCCAGTCCCTGGCCTGGGTTTTGCCTTCCTCTAAGCCCTACCACCCTCTCAGACTTCATCCCACCCTCTCCTGCCCTGAAGCCTCTGGCCTCAGTCCCAGATACCAGATCACCTGCTACACACTTGGGCCTCTGAATATTGCTGAGGAAAGTCACAGAAACAGAAACTTGGAATGCTAAAAAGTCAAGATGCTTGACTTCAAATTACTTCCCATAAATACTTTTATTCAATTTTATTAAGTCTTGAGAACAGGCATTCTCAACTTGGAGTCCATAGACCCCTAAAACTAAATGCATAATTTTGTGTGTATGTACTTTTTTCTGGGAGAAGGGTCCATTGTATTAGTAAAGAGATCACAGACCCCAAAAAGTTGGGCATTTATTCTAAACTGTCTCCTCTTGCCTCAACTTTCCACTCCACCCTCCTATGCTTTGTCCTGGCCCAAGATTCTTCTGCTGCGCCTTCTTGACTGAGATGATCCAAGTGGTCTGGTATGAGCTTCCCCTCTATTCTCACAATATCCACATCTTCCTCCTCTTTCAGTCTTAATGGAAGCAGCATTCTTCTTTCTTCCCAAGGCCAGCATTTCATTACTATCTCACTCTTAATCTTCTACTTCCTTAGATACCTTTCTCCATCAATTATCCCATGCTTTTCTAGCATCTTAATGCTAGCATCTTCACCTCTCCCTACTTCCTCTCCATGCACTCACAGGATTTGTACAAAGAGAAAAACACCTTTGTTTCACTCTATAGCTCACCGGCATCCCAACATATGATGGGTAGGGAATGAAGACGAATTAAGATGGGTACGGGCCCTGCTGTTGTAGAATGTCCACTATAGTCGAAGACACAGACAAGGAAAAAAGGCAAGTGAAGAGTTCTCTATTTGGAATCACAACAGATGAAAAGCAGTGTCCCTGGTAACACACAGCACTAACCCAGATGTGGGGCCTGGGAGGCAGAGAGAGGGAGCATCAAAGTGGTGAAGAGTAAAGAATCTGGGCCAGCTGGCTGGGGTCAGACTCCAGTTCTACCGTTGTACTAGCTGTGTGATCTTGGGCAAATTGTTTACCAGCACTGACCTCAGTTTCCTCATCTAGAAAATGGGGATAAGAACAGTGTCTATTTGATACAGTTGTTGCAAGGGTTAAGTGAATTGATATATGTAAAGAACTTAGAAGAGTGCCTGGCACATAGTATATGCTATGTAAGTGTTAACTAATCTTTTAATATTTACATCAAGCTCTGGACTAGACCCCTAACATACATTATTTCATTTATTCTTCACAACAACTCTATGAATTAGGTATGATTATTAATATTTGTTCTTTAATTTTTAAAATAATGGCTTCATTGCAATATGCTTTACATACCATAAAATTCACCTTTAAAAAGTATACAGTTGAGTGGTTTGTTGTATTTTAACAGAGTTGTGCAACAATTACACTGTATAATTCCAGAACATTTTCATCATCCCCAAAAGAAACTCTGTACCCATTAGCAATTCCTCCCCATTCACCCCTATCTCCCAAATTCCCAGCCATAGCCAACCACTAGTTTATTTTCTCTCTATATAAATTTGCCTATTCTGGACATTTCATATAAAGGGAATTACACAATACATGTTCTTTTGTTGTGAGCCTCTTTCACTTAGCATGTTTTCAAGGTCCATCCATGTTGTCACATGTCAGTACTTCACTTTATTATTTATTCTTTTATTTTGAGACAGGGTCTCACTCTGTCGCCCAGCCTGAAATGCAGGGGTGCGATTATAGCTTGCTGAGGCCTTGAACGCCTGGGCTCAAGCCATCCTCCCGTCTCAGCTTCCTGAGTAGCTGGGACTACAGGCACACACGATCATTCCTGGCTAATTAATTTTTTTTTTTTTCTATAGAGACATGGTCTTGTCATGTTGGCCAGGCTGGTCTCAAATTCCTGGGCTCAGGTGATCCTCTTGCCTCAGTCTCCCAAAGTGCTGGGACTACAGACATGAGCCACTGCACCTGGCCTTCGTTCCTTTTTATAGAAGAATGACATTCCACTGTATGAATATATCAAATTTTATTTGCTCATCAGCTGATGGATATTCACATGCTCTCTACTATTTGATATTATAAAAAATGCTGCAGTCAACATTTGTGTACATTTTGTGTGTGTGTGGACATATGTTTTCTTTGATTTATTAATCAAAGTAATATATGTATTTAGTTTTAGAAGTCAAATATTACCTCAAGGCTCCTCATGAAACACCTGTCTCCTGACACACTCCTTCCCCTCTGATTCCATTCCCTAGAATCAAGTATTTTCAACAGTTTTAGCTAGTTCTTCTGTTGTTTTGTTCCATATTTCTAGAGTTAAGCTTATGGAATATCTTGATTAGGTTCAGATACATACATATATACGTATATATATGTTCATATATTTTTTCCTTCCTACTTGAAAGATAAATATTTGAGCCTCTCACATCCCCTAGTCCAACATATACATGGTAACCTTCCCATCATCCTCCAGAACAGTTTACAATATCCTTTTAGTTAAATCAATACTCAAGTTTTTACAGCGACTCAAAATATTCATAACTGAGTTAGAAATATTTTGCGTTATGTTTTTGTATCTTTTTTGATATGCTAGGTTTCTATGTACATATTACTAATTCTGTATAAACTCTCCAAAAGAGCTAAAATACAATTTAAAACATCAAGAAATGATTCCATCCCTTGTTTCCCCCTTGGAGAGGCCCTTCCTCCTGTTCGGTCCTGCTGCCCAGCTGCCTTCTAGAAGCTTCCCTTCCTCATCACTCTGGGGACCCCTTTATTCTCCATCTAGGCTGAATCTCCTATTTCTGGACCACACACCATCCCACTTTCTTGGTCTACTTCCTTGTTTAAATGAGCATATCCTCTAGTAGATTCTTGAGAAAGAGTATATGGAACATAAATTTCTTGAGACATTTTATAGTTGAAAACTATCTTCATTCTTTGAAGTCCATACTGGAAATCATTTTCTCAGAATTTGGAAGGAATTGTTCCTGTGTGTTCTAGGGTTGTTCCAGGGTTGCTGTTGAGACATCTGATATCATTCTGACTTATGGTCCCTCTCACGTCATTTTTGGTTTCTCTCGGAAAATTTTTAGAATTTTTTTAATGCCAGATGTTCTGAAAATTGTTGGTGATCTGTCTTAGTGTAAGTCTGTTTTCATCTACCATGCAAGGTACTCAGTGGTCCTTTCTAATTGGGAAATTCAAGTCTCTCAGTTCTGGGAAATAGTTTCTCTCTCCATCTCTTGTCTCCTTTCCTCTGTTTCCTATGCTCTATTTCCCTGGGATTACATTTATTTGCATGTTATGCCTCTTGGATTAATCTTCTAATTTCCTTTATTTCCTCCCATCTTCTGCCTCTTAGCCTTCCTATTCTACTGTTAGAATTTTTCTACATTTTCTTCAAAACTTCCATTGAATGTTTTATTTCTGCTTTCACCTCAAAATTTATCTCTTAGTCTGTTTTGTGCTGTTATAATAAAATATCTCCGACTGGGTAACTTATAATAAACAGAAATTCATTGGCTCACAGTTCTGGAGGCTGGGAAGTCCAATATAAGATGCCAGCATCTTATGAGGGTCTTCTTGCTGCCTCATCCCATGGCAGAAGGCAAGAAGGCAAGGAAGCAAGACTGGGACAAACTTGCCTTTTTATAATGGCATTAATTCTACGTGGGCAGTCACCCTTTAAGGCCTCACCTCTTAATACTATCACAATGGCAATTAAATTTCAACATGAGTTTTGGAGGGGACATTCAAACCATAGCAATTGCTAAAAACCCTTTTTTTCTGCATGTTTCTTTTTTAAATTTTATATAGCAACATGTGGGTGGGGACAGGGTGGGGAATGTCTTACTGCTCCTTATATAAACTTTCTACTAATCTTCCTATTTTTCAAGTCCCTCTTGCACTCTGCCTCCAGAGGTATCTGGTGCCTCAGAGTACTGAGCTTTGCTGAGTGCCCATGGTGGGATATGAATTAATTCTCTATGGCTTCTCTCATTATAGGCTTGGAATTCAGCTTTTCCATATCTGTTAAGGCTAGTGTTATCACCTATTTCATGGTCTCCAACATACTGCTGACATCTCTGGTATACTATTGGCTCATTTGATATTGGTCTCCCGTACTAGACTTGGAATTCCATGAGGCCAAGTGCTGTGTTTGCTTTGTTAACTTCTAAACACTGTATCCAGCATTTCAAAAATGCTTGTTGAATAAATTAATGAAGAGGACTAAGCTGAGACTTGAAGAATGACATGGAAAGGAAAGGTGGAAATGTACTATAAGCATAAGGGAATCGCATGTGTGAAAGATCACAGGTGGGAGAAATAAAAGTACATCAAAAATATGACCAAAACTGGATGCTACTGTGGTTTAAGAGTGCGAAGCTGGGGGAAAGTGCAGAGAAAGAGAAAAACTGGAGGATTTTGCAGAGACCAAGTCATAGTGGATCTTTTAACTGTGTTTAGGAGTTTGGGCTTTACCCTGTGTATTAATCAGGGTTTTCCAGAGAAACAGAACAATAGGATATGTGTCTGTATGTTTGTGTATGTATTTATGCATGTATGTATACGTATGAAGAGCTTTATTACAAGGAATTGGTTCATGTGATTAGGGAGGCTGACAGGTCCCAAGATCTTCATAATGATTCAGTAAGCTGGAGACCCAGGAGAGCCAGTGGTGAAGTTCTAGCCTGATGGCTGGCAGGCCTGAGACCCAGGAAGATCCAGTGTTTCAGTTTGAGTCCAAAGGGAGAAAAAAGCCAAAGTCTCAGCTCAAAGGCAGTCAGTCAGGAAGAATTCTCTCTCATTCAAGGGATGGTCAACCTTTTTGCTCTATTCAGGCCTTCAGCTGATTGGATGAGGGCCACCCCCTTAGGGAGGGCCATTTGCTTAACTCAGTCTACCAAGTTAAATGTTAACATCACCCAAAACACTGTCACCAAAACACCCAGAATAACGTTTGACCAAATATCTGGGCACTCCATGGCCCAATCAAGTTGACACATAAAAAATTAACCATCACACCCTGCAAGCAATTGGGAGCCATTTTAGGATCCCTATCTACTTCCTAGGGCTGTTTTAACAAAGTACCAAAAACTGAGTGGTTTAAAATAACAAAAATGAATTATCTCACAGTTCTGAAGTTAAAAATCGGAAACTACAGTGTTGTGGGACTGGTTCCTTCTGAGAGTTGTGAGAGACAATTTGTTCCATGTCTCTCTCCCAGCTTCTGGTGGGTTTCCTGGCAACATTTGTCATCCTTGGCTTATAAAGGCATCACCCCAATTTCTGCTTTTATCTACACATTTGTGTCTAAATTTCCCCTTTTTAAAAAAGATGACAATCATATTGAATCAGGGCCCATCCTAATGATCTCATCTTAACTTGATTGTCTGCAAAGACCCTATTTCTAAATAAGGTCACATTCATAGGCATTTGGATTTAGAACTTCAATATTTTTGGTAGGGCACAATTCCTAACAGTCATAAGTGGAAAGTGACACAATTATACTTGAGTTTTAGAAAAATCCCCCTAACTCCAGTGAGAAGAGTAAGAAGGCAAGGACTATAGGAAGAGTGGGGAGAATAAAGACTGGCCCATCCCAGAAGCCTTTGCCTTGGCAGGGCATAAGGTGATGATGGTGGCAGTGGGATAATCATATGTGGGTGAATTCCAGAGACACTTGATAGGCAGAAAGGGGAAGAAAAGACTGATTGACTACGGAGGAAAAGAGATTGAATATGGTGGAAGGAGCATGGGAAACTGGGTGGTAGAGAGTAATAACATTCAATGAGATGAGGAATTCAGGAGGAGGGGTTTGGACAAGAGGATTATGAATTTAATAAATGCTACCTTTGTTCATTTCCATAGACTCTCTATTCGGCTGCTGTTCTCATCACTCTTCTGAAACTGGACTCTATTCAGTCCTCAATGTCCTTGTTTTTATACAATATTTGACACTGTTAACAATCCTTTCCTTTTCCAATTTCTCTTCACCATGAACAATTACTCATATTTAAGTGAAAAATAAACAAGTCTATTTTGAAATTCCGACAATCTCCAATGTCTAAAACTGAAGTCATCATTCCTTTGACAAAGAAGCTGCCCTTAGCCCATCTCTTCCTTCCTTCGTTCCGCCAAGAGCAGACTACACCCCCAGGATGGTCCAGAGTACTCCTTGAGTCCTACTTTTTATTTTTTTATTTTTTATTTTTTGCAATTCCCACATGTGGTCAAAGTTTCATTTATTTTTCCCTTATAGTATTTCTTGGTTTTGTTCTTTCTTTGCCACTTTTGCCTTATTATCACATTTGGATTAGCTTCCTGATTTCCCTGTTTTTTGCCTCACTGCTCCTCTCTCCATCCTGCATAGCAGCACCACATGACTCTTCATAAGGCTACAGTTTTCTCCCTTCACTCTCCTGCTCCCTATGCATCTGAAGTTACTCATTGCTGCTAGAAAAATGTCCAAACTTTGCCTCAATCCATCTTCCAAGCCTCAGAGCAACAACGTAAACCCTCTAGTGCCTTCAGGCTGGCCTGTCCTTGACCCTCTGGAAGCCTGGCACATTTCTCATTATGCCTGTGAGATTTTTGTGCTCATTCTCCCTGCCTGTCTCTCCACTCCCCTTGTCTATAAATCTGAATCATTCTCCTAGAACCAAGAACAGAACCAACTACATGATTTGTAGGCCTCAGTGCAAAATAAAAATGTAGAGTCCTTTGTTTAAAAATTAGGAATTTTTAGACAGCGACAGCAGAGCATTAAACCAAGTGTGAAGCCCTTCTGGGCACAGGCTAGGAGGCTAGCCTGGCCAAGAATCTTCCCTTGACCACCATTCTATTCTTTCCTCTCCTGCTAAAGCCTATAGTACTTGTTTATAAGACATTCTTGATACTTATTGCATGCCACATTTGTCAACTAATCTTTATGACTATATATCTGTATGTGTTTGTTGCATTTTTATTCATTCATCAAGCTCTTATTAGGATCATACCATGTACCAGGTACTCAGAAAACAAACCTAAAAGACTCAGTCTTATAAATTCGGGAAGTTTGCAATCAGGGAGGTTACCAAACATAACAATTATAATACCTTGTGATAAACTCTGGTAGAAAGATGCATAGGGTACCAAAAGCAAAATGACAGTAAAGTGCCAGGTAGGAAGGCATCTTAGAAGAAGTATAGCTGTAATCACAATGAGATGTTACATCACCCCTGTTAGGATGGCTATTATCAAAAAGATAGAAGGTGAGCATTGGCAAGGATATGGAGAAAAAGGGAACCCTTGTACACTGTTGGTGGGGATTCAATGCAAATTAGTATAGCCATTATGAAGAATATGGAGGTTCCTCAAAAAATTGAAAATAGAACTACCATATAATCCAGTGGCCTGTGCACTCTCACACAGGCCTGTGCCCAGAAGGGCTCCACACTTAGTTTAATGCTCTGCTGTCTAAAAATTCCTAATCTTTAAACAAAGGACTCCACATTTTTATTTTGCACTGGGGCCCACAAATTATGTAGTTGGTTCTGTTCTTGGTTCTAGGAGAATGATTCAGATTTATAGACATAAGGAGTGGAGACACAGGCGGGGAGAGTGAGCACAAAAATCTCACAGGCATAATGAGAAATGTGCCAGGCATGGCAGAGGCATACGCCCAAAGGGAATGAACTCAGAGCAGATACCTGCACTCCCATGTTCACGGCAGCATTATTCACGACAGCCAAGATGTGGCATCAACCTAAGTATCCAGTATCAGATGAATGAATAAAGAAAATGTGGTCTATATACACAATGGAATACTATTTGGCTTTAAAAGAGAAGGAAATTTTGTCATGTGTGACATCATAGATTAATCAGGGGGACATTATGCTAAGTAAAATAAGCTTGGCACAGAAAGACAAATACTGCATAATCTCACTTTTATGTGAAATCTTAAAAAGTTGACTTATAGAAGCAGGTAGTAGTTGAGCAATGCGGGGAGGGTAAGAAAAATGGGAAGATGTTGGCCATAGAGTACAAACTTTCAGCTAGATAGGAGGAATAACTCCTAGAGACCTATTGTACAAAAGGGTGACTATAGTTAATGTACCATATCCTTGAAAATTGCTAAGGTTATTTAAATATTCTCATGGGAAAAAAATAAGTATATGAGGGGATAGGTAAGTTAATTAGTTTAGTTTAATTATTCCATAATGTATACATACATAAAACATCACACTGTATACCATAAACATATATATTTGTTATTTATCAGTTAAAAAAAGAAGACGATGTACAGCTGGGCCTTGAGAAATATATAGAAGCTGGCCAGATAAAGGAGGGAGAAAAGTGATGAAGCCCATTTCGAACAGAGGGGCCAGCATATGTGAACAGAGCGGGATGCTATATACATCTCCCAACTGAAATGTCAGCTTCTGGAGTACAGGAATTGCACCCTTCCACAGCACCTAACATAGTGCGTTGCACGTAGAGCAATTTCAATGCCTATTTCATTAGTTGAGAAGGCAAGCCGATTCTATAAACAATATGGCATTTTAACATTAAACCGAAGAGCTAAAGTAATTAGATGTTTTAAATAGATATCTAAAATTCATTCTTGAAGCACAATAGGTCTTCCAGAGAGTTTATATGCACAACTCTCATAGGAAGGTTGACTTTACATCTGTTTAATGCTAATTCGACTATCCCTTTCTGATAACAATGTAACAAAAGTTAATTATAGTTATTATTTTCAGGTAGATTAAGAAAGAAAGAGGGCTGTTCATGACTTGCAATTTTTTTTTCATAAAATGTCAAACACATAAAAATGTTGTCTCTGCAGTATTCCTATGTATTAAAAAGTGGAACTCAGCAAATGATGCAGTCTACAACCATTTCAAAAGTAGAAAATTCACTTACCTGTAGCTTATAACAACTCCCTAGATATCCCTAGATATTCACTGACAGTTTACAACCCATTTGCATTAACAGAGTCATTGAAACAGATGCCAGTTGAAATTAATTGTGCTACTTACCTTCAGTTTCCTAAGCTGGAAATACAGTACTTCCTCAACTTTTATAAACAGATATGATGCTGCTGCTGAGACAATGTTTGAGAGTCTTCGAACCACCAAGAATACAAATATAGGAACAAAGGTTTTAAAATAAGCATACAGAAAACAAAAGAAAAAGAGGATGAACTAAGTAATTCAACAGGAGAGTAAAAATGTAAGTCATGAGCGTTTTAACAATGCTCATGTTAAAAGGTGAAAAAAAATGATAAGAAAAATATTTGAGAGCATGGTACATAGAAAAAGCAAAAGAGTCCAGGCATGGTGGCTCATGCCTGTAAATCCCAGCACTTTGGGAGGCCGAGGCGGGAGAATCACTTGAGTTCAGGAGTTCAAGACCAGCTTGGCCAACATGGTGAAACACCATCTCTACTGAAAATACAAAAATTAGCAGGACACGGTGGCGCACACCTGTTGTCCCAGCTACTCGGGAGGCTGAGGCGGGAGAATTGCTTGAACCCGGGAGGTGGAGGTTAAAGTGAGCTGAGATCACGCCACTGC